CAGGCAAAGGCAAGGACTCAAATATCCTTGCAGGAATTTGGGAATCAGACATAACCTATTCTAATCTGAGGCAGCGATACACAAGCAGCCTAAGCAATTCCATATTCATTCCAGCAAATATGCTTGATTAGAGAAAACCAAGCATCTTTGGACATTACATAAGATTAACGTGCATGCAATTATTCCTCTTGATGGAGTATCAAGAGACCAAACTTCTTACCTGGTTTAAATTTAGTCACTCCTTTCCCAACACTCTCCACAATCCCTGCTCCTTCATGACCCAAGATTACAGGAAATCTCCCCTCAGGATCAGCACCACTCAGGGTAAAAGCATCAGTGTGACACACTGCAGTAGCAATAATCTAGGAAGTTACAATGAACAGTTGGATAGAGGAAGACAGAACATTTCCAGGACTCCTCAGCTTATGTTTTTAGACTTTCAAAAATCCCCAGGGCAAATTGAATTTCTGCAGGTAACCTTAGGGACACTCTGCTGTGATGTTTACAAAGACGTTAGAGTCCAAACAGCAAAACAGAAACAGGGGAGGTGGTTCATATTATCACTCAACCATACGCTGGTCCCTATCATTCAGCCTAACCTTTTTCCTACAACAATGTTGGGGATAAGGCAAGTAAAGAAAAGATCAGTGGATACGATGAGTTCCGTGGTAAAACACTGAGATATAAATGCAACAACAAATCTTCTGGCCTCAGCCCATCTGCAGCTTCAAGGAGAAAGACAGGGACCTTCTTGCAGATTATTGAAATAGCTTATGTGAAGCATGATAGCAATAAATGATCATTACTAAAATCTGTGGCATCTTCAAGTTCACATGTAGTCAACTCCAAAAGCTTACATCACAATCGATTTGTTAATGTTAAGGTAGGCTCTCCCCCTAGATGAACCCACAGTTGGGAATTCTGGGACTCATAGTCTCAACACTTCTGGAGGTCACCTAGTCAGGGAGGCATGCCTCAAAGATGCTATAAGGCTCTATATTCTTTTTGTTGTAACAGACTTTCATGGTTATTCTGCTGAATACTTACAATTATTATCACTAATTCTATTACTGGAATCTATCATTTGTCATGGAAAGCAAAAATGTAAAGTATAAACACAGTCACCAAAAAATATGTTCATGGTCTAGCTTTGGCAATTAAGAGTAACTGCAGTGGGTACTATAACCACCTGTGCAGATCTATTAAAACTCAACACTTGATTCATTCATTACCTTGATACGAACTTCATGGGCTTCTGGAGGAGCCACTTCCACTTCCTCAATAGACAGTGGTTTGCCTGCCTCCCAGGCAACAGCTGCCTTACATTTGATAACCTAAAGAAGAGAAGAAACTTTCCAAACTCATGTAATGAACTCAACAGAGCCAACCACTTTTAATTTGTGGAATCAATCCCAATTTTTCTATTCAAAACTCAAGCTTGTTCACTACTGCAACTTTGGAGAGATCCTCCTAGGATTGAAAATGGACCTTCACTTCTAACAAAGTTAACAAGCACTCTAGGAGATGTTTTGCACACACAGACACATTTAGAGTAGTGTTTCTCAATCTCAGCAACTTTAAGGTGTGTGGACTTCAACTCCCAGAATTACATTTAGAGAGTGGGGTACAATCCTTAATTTACTAATATCATTTGGAATGGGAAACGTGGAAGAAATTTTCAGCACAGCAGTATCAACTGCCCTTCTTTTTAATCTGGATTTAAGCTTTATCTTGAACACTTTGTTCAAATCTTAGTGCAACCCACAAAGTAACTACTTGCAAAATCTATCATCAGACTGAAACCAATTCATTTCTTATGGAGCAAAGTTCAAAAACCTGATGCCAAGTACAATATTTGCAGTCTTCCAGCATCCTTACCTTTACCACCTGGTTAAAGAAATATGCACTCATGAGAAAAAGAAGATATATGCATGATCTAAGCATTATGCATAAATGCATTTGAAAATACAGTAAAAGAATAAGTTTTATAGAAAGTAATTTAGAATCTGAAATTATGTAGGATTGCTGGTTTGAAAAGTGCTAATTTTCTAATTTATGTTGGCTAAAAGGCTGATTTCAAGCTATCTTTTTCCCACAACTTAAACTTTTAAAGTATTTTATAAGATACAGTGGTCATCAATTAGAAATTACAAAAGGCTGGAGAAATAAATGTGATACTTTACACAATAAACCAGTTTTAAGCAGCTGCAGAAGAATATTTTTTATCCTTGTATTTTATATATATAGTCTCTATTCTTTTTGCTAACTAGTTAAAACAAAATATAAAAACCACTATATTATTCAGGAGAAATAAAAGATGACCAAGCTATGTCAAGCTGGTAACTGGAATCTTGAAGCTCTCAAGACCTGCAAAGCAACATTTGGAAGAGAATAATGAAATACAGGGCATCATATTCTGTAAGTTGCTTTGATTATTCTGCAGCTGCTAGATTGGTTGATTTGAACAGACATCCAGTCCAGCTGTGCTGGATTCTGAATATGTAAATTGTTTGGGTACACAATAATCTCATTAATACAGATTACGAGCCTTACCCATACTGTTCAACAGAGAAAGTAACAGGTGAATTCTGGAAATTATAGCCCTAATAAAATGGGAGAGTGATAAGCTGGGGAAAGTTACAGGACTGTGTATACACATTAGTTTTCCAAAGGACACTGAGTTCACTCCTTGAAAAAGTATATTACAATACTCCCAAATTCATCCCTGTATGTGTATATTCTGGAAATCAGGAGCAGAAGACTTATTTGAAGGTAATACTATTTTTCCAGCCATACGGGCTGAAAAAATTAAGAGGCAAACTGAGAAAATCAGCCAAGTGAAAAAAATACTCAAGGACAAGCTTGTGTGAATACGAACTGCATATGTTACAAAACTCAGCAACTTAGCCATGCTTTGTTGAATAGTTACTACCAGTTGTACTCTCACACTATCTTTAGAGTGTAAGCTCTAAAGGTTCATGTAATACTCCAACCAAGAGATAAGCAAACCAAGTTGATTTAGCACTGGTGTGAATCCAGCTAATATACTTGGAGGGATAATGTGAGGAAACCAAATCTGAAGGCAGGAGGCATTGAAAAAGTTCTCTCATCTGCAAAGTTTTTTTGTTTTGTTAATCAAAGCAGAAATCTAGACAAACCAACCCGAGAAGTCGCTGATTTCAAGCCAGTGGGAAGAAACAGGGAGGGCATAAAGGCCACAATCAAGTACAACTTAGTGGTCTTCTGAATGGAGATGCATAGAGCTGTGTTCTTGGGAACTGAGCCGTGGTTTAGCCCTCCACCTAGTTCTAAGCAAATACATGGATTCAGGCTGCTAAGAGGCCCGAATACGAGAATGTCCCTGACAAGCGCATCTTCTGGAGCATCCACCAGAACGATCAGATCCGGACTATCCCATGGTGGGCAAGCGATGCGGGAAACGTTGCTGCCATCTAGTTGTCGTCCGAGATACGACAGCTGTGGTACCCAGCGGTCTCGCTTGCGCAACTAGGGGCTCTTAAGAAAAAAGGAAGAGGAGGAGGAGCGTCTGCCCTTGCCCACTGGAAATAATCCCGACTTTGCCCGCTGGAAGTTTCTGGCACCATGAAAAAAGGTCTGGCTGCAGTGGGAAGCCAGCTGCGAGCTCCTGCCGCCCTTCCTCTGACCCCAGGGCCACCCTTGCCTGCCCTCCACACGGCCCCTCGGCGAGGGCGAAGCTCGCCCGGAAACTCCGGAGCTGCAGGCACCTCCGGAGCGCGAGCGCAGAGGCGCCTCCTTACCCCGCTGGCCATGGCGCACGCGGACCCTCCACGTCCCGATCAACCCTCTCGAACAGACCTCGCCTCAGGAGTCGGCCGAAGCATGCGCACTCGTCCAGGAACGGCCCACCCCCGGAGGCGGGGCCAAAGGAGGCATTGACGTCCGCGCTCGCGTCTCCCGGGTTTGCGCGCGGATGGCCAACCAGCCGTGAGCTCACCTTCCCAAGGGAGTTGGAGGCTGCCGGGTTCGCTTGCTCGAGATTGAGCGGGTTGCCACGATCAAGCCCCAGACTCAAAGCTACCGAAAAGTTGAATTCTTTGCCAGATAGGGCAGCCTCTTCATTCTGGTCCTACCAAGGACATCCTAGTACATTAGTCTCTCTCCTCCTTTGGATTTTTCTCAACCCCGCCAGGCATGGCGCTTTTTTCTAGCCCGTCCTCCGTTTGCGTGGCATATTCAAAGCAGACGAGCTTCTCTCCTGGAGGATCTCCTGGATGGGTTGATCGCTCTTTGGAATTAAGTTGCGTCGGAGTTCGCTTCTTGTAGGCTCCGAGCTTAGCGGCCTATTATTTTTGAAAGAACAGAGCTCGGTAGCAATCAGGACTTGAGAAAATAGGCCAAGGGAGGGCTGCAACATATGGGGCCAAGGGAAAGCAGAAAAGAGGGACTGCAAAATAGTTTTAAAGGAAAATTTTAAATAAGCAGCTGTTTTGATAGACGGCTACTATTAATTAATTAATTAATTAATTAAACTTGTCCCCGCCCATCTCCCTCCAATGGGGGAATCTGGGCAGCTCACAACATATTCAAACAATAAATATACAATTAAAATTTATAACAGCACACATTTACAAAAATAAAAGGAAATGGTTAGATTTGCATAGCACGCTACCAAAATCAAGGAGAGCACGTTATGACTGCAGGGTGGGTGAACAAATCTTTCTACATAATTTTTTTCAAACTAAGCACCGTGTCTAACCCAGTGTTTCTCAACGGCGGCTACTTTAAGATGTAGGGATTTCAACTCCCAGAATGCTGGCTGGGGAATTCTGGGAGTTGAAGTCCACATATCTTAAACTTGCCAAGGTTGAGTAACACTGGTCTAACCCATCAGCTATACAGTAGTTGGAAATGCTATGAGCAAGCAAACCATCGCTTAATTGATGTGCAAACAAAATATATAAAATATATATTTATGTGTTGTTTGCTTGCTAGGAGCATCTGGCTGTGCAGGTGGGTGGTTAAAAAGCTAAGTTAAAGCTACATAGGTACAGATCACATGCATAATGAAATTAAAAAGGTAGAACTGAAAAAAGCAGAAAAATCTTAAGAATATGAATATGAAAAAAAACCTTGGGCAGTGAAAAACTTTAAATGCAAATAAATCACTGTGTTTTTACAGGAAAGATGTGTGCATTTGTTTCTCTAACATTGATCCTAAATAAGCCCTTAACATTCAAAGTACTTAGTTTGATATATTTGGATGGAAATCAAGAACGAGTAGATCTAAAATGTAATAGAAAAGAATGAACATTAGGTGTCAGTAGAATGACTTAGATGAGCTGTCATTCCCATCAAGCTGTAGCTTTCATAAGCTCTGCAGAGGAATATAAGGAATATAGACTCTGGCTTTCTTGCAGAGTGATTGGGCGGGAAGCATAACAACTGTAGCACTTTTACTGTATTCTTTCCTAATGCTTCTTTCATTTTTCTGGTCTCATGTAGATATCAAGCAGGAGGAGCACCCCACAAAGAAAGGGGCTAGGAAGCAATCTCCCCCATGAATACCAACTGGATCTAGCCACAAAGGGAGAGAACCACCTAAAACAGTGTCCCCAATTCCCAAACCTTATATCTGGTACAGAAGGATATCTACTACCAGAAGGCAGTATCGAAAGCCATTGAGAGATCAAGGAGCGCAAGGATGGATGGAGTATCCCCATCCCAGCTCCAGTTCAGGTCATCAACAAGCACTACCAATGCTGTCTCCATGCTGAATCTCAGCCTGAAACCTGACTTAAATGGGTCTAGATCAGTGTTTCTCAACCTTGCATGGCTGGCCAGGGAATTCTGGGAGTTGAAGTCCATACAGCTTAAAGTAGCCAAAGTTGAGAAACACTTGTCTAGATAATATGCTCCTTCCAGCATTCATGCAGTCCTACCACCTTCCCACCAACCTTCCCTAAAAAGGGAGAAAGGCTGAATTTCACACATTGGTTTAAATGAAGTTCCCAAGACCCTGGCTACAGTTTTGCATTATCTGTGAAATGGTCATCTACTAGTAGTTGTGGTGGAGCAGGGTGGGGGGAGCAGGTTGATTAAGGCAAAGCGGTGCCCTCCTAAGATGGGAAATGGAGTATCCATAAGCCTTGAAAAGCAACTTCCACACTGGAAGTTTGGTGCAGTAGCCAAGATGGAAAAGAATTGGCTGTAACTGTCCGGCCCAAGATGAGGAGTACTGTTGGGGAGAATCGGTGGGAAAAACAGAAGAGGAAAGTGAAAAATGCTGATCTCTTCCTCTCCACCCCAAAATTCCACACATTATTTCAAAATAAAAGATTCATCTGGAAGCATACAATAGCCTGCATTTACCCAAATAAAGGGCTAGGTTTTTCTACCTAAAGAATTTAGCTTTAAAATAATGTAAAGAATGTCTTAGATTTACTGAAAATATGGTAATGGAAGCAGATGAAGGATTTGGGTGGGTGGGTGAGGGTCTAATTTTCCTTTGGGTGGGGGGGAATCATCTTAACTCAGGGCGTTTTCCTCCAAATCCCAGCAATTAGAATTCCATTCTATGAACGATGCTGGAGAAATACCTCTTTTAAGCCCCTCTGTCAGTAGGATCTAATGGGAAGTGGCTTTCAATTTCTAAATGTGAATGACAGCACCAGAATGGCTGGATGATAAAATGTTACAAGATATCTTCATGATGACATCGTCAAGCCATACCTGCCCCCTAAATTGCATATTAATTTCCCCTCTCTCCTTGACAAGCCAACCTTCACTCTTATTTGGTAGCAAGAGCATTGACAGCAATGTTTTCTGAGTTGGTTAAATGGTCTTTCCATTGTTTTTCGTATGATTTATCCTGCCATGTCCTCTTCCAGGTCTCTGCACAGCCGTGCATCTCAGTGTCCACTGTACCGAGCTGTTCCAATTTGTTTTTAGGCTCCATGATGTGTGTGTGCAAGGAGCTGTTGCAACTGTTTTCTTTACAAGCTGCTAGTTAATAATGTATGTGAAGAGTCTCCTTTGCTTCCCAACCAGCCATCTGCAAAACTTTTCTTAAAAATTCATCTCCCCCAATATCAGTGCAGGGATTTGTAAAAAAGCAAAACATTAGTGACAGTGTAGAGTTTTTATATACCTGTATCCATCCAGAGGGGGTCAAACTTTAGAGAAAAAAATAGGCAGGAGACAAAGAAACAGCTGTTTTTCTGATTGGGAACACACTTGGCAGGATCCACCACAGGCCAACCTGTTGCCTGGACCATGCAGTTTATAAATGAACAAAATAAATGCATCTAGAGAGGATAACAGTTATACACATAGTCAAATTATAAATGCATTTTATATTGCCACAACAGAGAAGTATGGCTAAGAGCTTCCACTTTACAGAGTGGAAATGCACATCAAAGTGCATCTTTGGATCAGCATAAAATCAACACCAGCATAAAATGTGCTGTTTTCAGTGCTAGTCCTTGTTCTGCCTTCATTGTGCATGTTCTGACTCACTGCCAAATGCTGTTGTCCTGATTTGTGAGTATGACCCTCATTATAGCAAGGGGATTAAATACTTCCTCTGACTTTGCTGTCATTCCTTTATAGTGAGGAAAAGCAGAGCTACTGCATCTAAAGATAAGGATGCATTTCAGAATAAATAAATAGAATAAATTTTCAATTTCTAAAGACTTCAGTACAATAGATTTCAGATGTAAAGGACAAAATCTGAATTCGAATTCAGCTCCAAACAGCAGATAGTTTTTTGTTTAGTGAATCAATCTGGAGAGTGTGCATATTATTCCAAAATCATGTGTATATGCCGTGTATATTTCATACATATTGGATTCACTTTTCATACATTGCCCACATTTTATGCATGCATAAAATCCCATTTGGTGTTTAACTGACATTCAGCTTTCATGGAAACCTCTCCCACCATTAAACTGAAGGTTTACTGCATTGTTCAAATGGAATCGTGCAAAAATGTCCCCGATTTTTCCTCAAATAAAATAAAAGAAGCTTGATAATTTCAGAATACCTTTACGGTATACCTAATACAGCCTCTCTTTTTGCTGATATAAATTAGTAGGGGTCTGCTTTGCTCTGCTCTAGCTTGTTGGAAACCTGGGGAGAAGCTGATGTCCAAACAGAGAAGGGAGAAAATGATTGATATGAAAGAAATTCAGGAAACAAAGTAAGGAGAAGACAATCCTTGGAGAAAAATGGCTATGGCAGACACTGGCTAGTACCCAAAGGAAAAGGGTGTCTACATGCCTCTCATTCCTAAAATACTCCTCTAATGATGCCCATCACAAGTCACTGGGCCTTGCCTCCAACATAGCGGGTGCCAAAGTATTAAGATTTTATACATTTTGAAGCTCTGGTGGGATTATTTATTTATTTATTTATTCATTCATTCATTAAATTTGTATGCTGCCCATCTCCCCCAATGGGTGACTCTGGGTGGCTCATAATGCCAGTTTACTGATAGTTAAAGTAGGGAAAATACTACTCTAAAACCAGTACAGCTAATGACAGCTTAAGGCTGTCACGGGTGGGTTGGGATAAGATGAAGACAGTTTCAGAGCCAGTAGGGAAGATGGATGTTGTCAGGGCACAACTGTCCTGTGTCAAAGTGTAAGTGAGGACCTGCCTAAGAGTAGCCCGTCTGGAATTAATATTAATGGTGGCAGATCTTTACTGCAAACAAGTTGACAACTTTGGGGGAATCTGTGTGATAGATTTTGTGGTATTCAGAGATTGTGAGAAACAGCAATATGAAAAAAAGAAGCTATTCTTCTGAAGGCAGGAAACTTATTGCAACATCAAGTTAAAGGTAATATACACAACTGTAGCAATATTAACAAGATAGGGAAGGCATGCAGAGCATGACTTCTGGAA